TCTTTCCTCTTTTGTTCAGCAAACCCTAGGGCTTTCTTCTTTCTCACTAATGGGCTTGGAAATGACCCAAAACAACAAATGAATTTCGTCAGACAGAAATGGGCGGTCTCTTTGTGTTTCAGGGCGGGAGCCCGGACATGCTTCACATTTTCGGGCGGTCGGCAGAACTTATGGGCGGCCCTCCTGAATTTTCTGTTAAATCTCGAGGCTTCTATCACTTTAGGGCGGCCAGATCTCTTTCTAGGGCGGTAGCCTGTTTTTGCTTTGTTCCACATTCCGCGTTTTCGTCTGATTTTTTCCGTTGTTTTCTCCCAGGGACTTCACTGCACCACCTGATCCTGAAATGTACAAAACAAGGACCTACTCTACCCCTAGACGACTCATATGCACATGAATCCGATGATAAAGATCCCAATCACTCATAAAATTCTCAAGTAAAGATGATGTGATCAAGGACGTCCCACTGAAAGTCGGGGATTATTATGTTCCCGTTGATTTTGTTGTCTTAGACATGGATGAAGACTCGAAGATACCGATCATTTTGGGCCGACCATTTCTGAATACGGCCGATGCAGTAATACATGTCCGAACTGGTCGTCTTACCATGAAGATAGGTGACGAGACTATTGAGTTCACCCTCGACAATATATAATATGAAGCAACCGTCCATGAATGAGTATGCATGCTACGTTGATGTGCACGACATTTTGACTCAAGAGGTGTTTGATCAGTTTCATGACATTGATCCACTTGAAATATCGCTCCTAGCATCTGATGCAACTATTGAGTTCACCCTGGACAATAATATGAAGCAACCGTCCTTGGATGATGGTTTGGACAAACATTCGGAATCTGTACAGATGATGGAAATGGACCGGTTCCATATGGAACCGGACCGGTTCTAATCTCGACCAGAAAGCGGTTTTACTCAGATGATGGAAACGGACCGGTTCCACATGGAAACGGACCGGTTCCACATGGAACCGGACCGGTTCCACTCTCTGAGATCCTCGGACATTTTTCACGTCAATGCGCCCGATACCTCTACGAACGTCTCCGAACCTTCCTCGATGACCTCCAAAGACATTCTAGAGACCAGAGAGCCATCACTTTGCATGGAGACGTTGAATAATGCGGATTGGAGTCTAGAGAACGCCCGGAAGGTGAAGCTGAAGCCCTTACCTCAAGGGCTTAGGATAAAGGAACACACACACACGGATAGGAACACAGGACCATCATTGGAGAGAGGTACGTATCCTACTCATAATCCTATATTCATTTTTGAACCTTCTATTACAGGTCGTCGAGTAGGGGTAATGAGCAAGAGAGGATCGAAACGAGCAAAATCATCGCTCAAACGTCCACAAGATCCACCTCCATCACAAGTTTGGAAACCCAAGGAGGACAGAAGACTCAAGCATCCACGAGGTCCAAAAGATATGTTTAACGCTCAACATCCAGGGTGGCGAAAGATCGAGTATCTTCGCCTCTCAGACCCTCCCATCATTTGAACAAGATAGGTCGAGCTAATGACGTTAAACAAGCGCTTCTCGGGAGGTAACCCGAGCACTAGGTAACTTTTCTTTTTCTTTTTCTTTGTAGCATAGGAAGTAGAGACCATGATTGTATTTTGGATCTTTCGGAATGTATTGCTATTATTATACTTTTGTTCGGATAACGTTTGTTGTTCTATGAGCGTTTACACCGGCAAACGAGAGATGAGCATCGACTTCCGAGAGACAACATTGATAGGTTCCAGTTTATAGAGTTTGTGAGAGCTCTTGCGTTTGACGTGAATTAACTTCATTGCGAGCGAACGAATTTCGCAGAGCTAAGCCTTCTTTATCCCTCTTATTGGTTCTTTCCACACGTTGCTTTCGATTCTACTTTTTCGGGCGAGAGTCTACACCTTGGACGATGTATGGTTCAAGTCTGGGGGGTGGATAGATCCTTCATACATTCAGGTCTATCTACTTAGGATTGCATTTAGTTTAGGTGCATTTTATCATGGCATATAGACTTAGGAAATTTTTTCACTTTTGCATATCACTTTGCATTAGTTGCATTCACGTTTTCTTTCTCCTTTTTTCCAAATAGATGATTTTTGTTAGGTTTGCATGATTGCATATGACATATAGATATAGGTTCATATAGGTTCACGTGCATACCTCGGACACCCATTTTGAACATCATTTGGAGGATTTTTGGGATAATAGAGTAGAAATATCTTGATGGTCTAGTGACT